TTTGCCTTGTGCTAGGGATTGGAGGCCCGGACAGCCTTGTGCAGCACCGGGGCTTGGTCTGCTCCCAGACCCTCTGGTCTCATCGTCTGCACTGAACTTACCACCTTGAGCGGCTCCCAGGGTCTCTCACCCTCCGTGCAGTGCCTCCTGCACCAAGCTCCCAGCCTCATGCTGGGGGCTGTGAACCCGAGCTGCCTAAGGGGCTCCAAAGATCCTGCTCCATGCACCAGCCTGTGCACCGTGTTTCTGGCCACACACCAGAGGTTACGGACCCAAGCCACCTCACGCAGCTCCCAGGGTCTGGACGCCGTGCACCATGCTGCACACTGCGAGCCTAACCACTGGAGCTGTCCGCTGCTCCCCACTGATAGGAGTCTTCAGGGGCTCTTCCTGGGCTACTGCTTCACCCTGCTGAGTAGCTCTCCTCAGCTCTTCTAAGCCCCACTCTTCTCTGTCCCTGATGCATCTGCCCCTCGTGCTAGACACGCTGCTCCTTTTATACTCTTCAGGGCTCTGCCCCTGAAGTCTTCCAGACCTGACAGTTTGCAGTCTTCAGTCAGGTCCGGGAGAGCTCTTCTCCCCCTCCCCTCAGGAAAGGGACGTGACTTCATTTCTCTTGCTGCCTGCTCTAGTGTCTTAGGTGAAAATCATAACATGGGCCCATTCTGCTCTACCAATATTTCTCCTGCCATTTCAACTGGAGACTGCTGTCATGACCCAAAGGCATGATTTTGTGTGTGCTTCGGCACCAGAATTATCCCCGCCAAGTTGCAGCTTCATTGCATGGGAAAGTTTCCTGTTGCAGAGGAAAACCCCGGTGCAGGGACGAGTTTCCCGCCTTTTCTGCAGCTTCTTTTGCAGAGTGCATTGCTCAAGTTGCAAGAGAAATGCACGGTGCAAAAGAGTTCCCACCACTGGTATGCAAATTTGTTCCCCGCTATTGGCTAGTTTTAAATTATTCCCACGGGGCGGCTAACGATTGGCCTGTTAGCCGTATAAGAGGCTTGAGCAGTTTCCGCCCAAGCCGAAGAGGACTCCACATCCATCTCGTGGGGACTCTGGGTACACGGCAGGGTAATAGAGACCCTGTGTGAGATTCAGAGGAGCTTGGCGACCTGATCCATCGCCCACCTCTTCCCGTCTTCGAGCGCAAATTTTATAAGATGTATCTCCGATTCCGATTTTGGTGGCGCCTTCACCCAGAGCATCCGGAGCTTTGTTCCGTGGAGCCTAGCAAACTCCACGTGACCGTTCATGTTGTCTGTGTCTGTAACCGCAACTCAAGCAAGTTTTCCAGCCTACACCACTCGGTGTAAGTAAACAATCTTTAAAACTACCGCTAAGCGTTTGTGCCTAATTCCAGCTCGTTGCCCTCCCTCTCCGATCCAGCATGCCCGGGCTGCTGGCCACAGCCCGCGTGCAGCACGGAAAAGGGCTCGGGTTGCTCCCGGCCCGCACAACTGCAACTTTACTTCTTGTACTAAAGAGTTGTGAATGCTGTCAAACAACTCTAATTTTGCACAGCACAGTTGCATTATCAGTAGTAGCACCATGAGATTTCCATTTAAAATTTCCTTCAGATGCCATCAGGATGAAAGCCATTGTAGGAATTCAACATGTGCACAGTGCAATTAAGGGGCATGAATTCAAAAAGAGAAACCTGGCCTTAGATCCCCTTCATTGGGGGGGGGGGAATCATAACAAACCCCCTCCCCTGTGCCTTCACAGAGCACATGTTTTACATCTATGAGAACTTGGAGGCTGGCTTATTCCTCACACATGAGATAGCAGCATATCCCACAGCTGTGGGCATTCATCATTAAAATTCCTTAACTTGTTTGCTGAATTGAGATTTTGAAAGGAAAAATTATGCATAGAAACTTCTGGTTGAAGAGAAATGGTTAGTCTGATAGTGCATAAGTAAAAATACAGGAGTAACAGATGCCTATGCAATACCTGAATAGTACAGCACCTAGAATAAATTCTGCTTTCAGTTAGACCTGCGGAATTCACTGGACTTCAATGTACTCAAAACATCAGGACATCACCCCAAAGGGTATAAGACAACAGGGGATGCTGTACAAATTAAACTTGCATTCTAGTTCACCAAGGATGCACAAGTGGTGATTTGAGCAACAATCAGCTCCCTTGTCTGCATTTTACCCTTAGGATTGTAATAGGGAAGATAGTTTTAAAGTTTACTATCCTGAACAAGGCATTCCACAAACCCTCAGCTAAAAAACTGTAGTACAATAGCAGAGTTTGTTGAAGTGAGGACTAAAGTAACTGATAAGATTCTTGATAACTGATGGCATCCATTTCCAATTACTCTGATGTCACCTAACAGCCTTTACCTCCAATGCTGATAATCCAGGTGTTGAGCTAACCAACCTCAACAAGTTTGAGACAAGTCCACCATCCTATTTCTCCATACCCCTAAAACTAGCTGGAGAGCTCAGAGCCACCACCTCAAGGTCATGGGCAGAACAGCTTCAGAGATGGACAGAAAGCCTCACCGCTTCCTCTTGCTCCATCAACACTGACCAACAGCTCTACCTAATCAACAGTAATCAGTTATTCAAGACAGCATGAGGACAGGGCAGAGGAAGTAGTAAGCTACAAGTCTGTCACTGAATGAAGCAATGCTTCTGCTCACATACCATAGCACTGGCCTACTGCACATTCCAGAGTGAGACTTATTCATGCTTAATTCGCTGCTGGCTTCTGTAACTAGAGTACTGTATGCTAGAGGGAACTGAGGAAAAGTAGTAGTAGTATGTGTTCCTCTGCAGCAAGCCTGCCTTTGGTTTTGAGAAGAGGCCAAAAGTAGATCCCACCAGGCTACAGGTTGGCATAAATGAAAGAACATCTTAAATAAAATAGAAAACTGTGTAAGTTTTCCCCACCTTCTTGCCACTGGGACCAGCATGCTGGGACACTAGCATTCCAGGCCAATCCTGCCGAGTGAAGACTGAGAAATCCAAGATAATCTCAAAACCAACCTAAAGACTCATCTGTTCAAGGTTTACAAGTATTTAGCCACAGTCAGAAAATACTGCTAAAAATCCCAAGATAGCAAAACCAGTACTCTTAGCAGTATCAGTTTCTCCCAGCTCACTTTTATATCAAGTGTTCTCCTGTTCAGGCTATAGGTTTCTTGGAGCAGAGGCCGATTTTCTTTCTTTATTCTGTGTTACTAAACTGAGGAATAACAGACAAATCTGTATTGGCACCGTGTTCTGTGGCTGGGCCAGACGCCTCAAAAGCATGTCAGAAATACTCTCACCCTAAACATACCTCTCCATTGCTCACTGTGTTCTCAGTTACAGCAGTTGCTGAACTACAAGGGATTAGCTTGCCTTTGAACCCATTGATTATGATCTCATTATTATAGCAACACCTTCCCAGAAACACCCCGAATACTGGACCACCCAGGATTTGCGCCATAATAAGGCAAGTGAAATGCAGAGATGGGGGGGGGGACACGACACAAGGAGAAAATGAGATAATCTGAGGTTATAAACTCTGAAGCTCCTCATATCAGATGGGTATTGTCATAACTGATAGTGATGTTTGCACACACAGAAGTTCATCACACAGGGTAATAACCTGGCACATCATTCATGTCCAGAGTAACATCAAACTGCAGATGGTAGGATATAGCCAGGTCACATAGGAACATGGCTGCTTCTCATACTTCTAGGCTAGGTTAGGCTCATTCAGTCAGAGGAATCATGGGGTTGGAAGGAAGAGTCATCTAATTAACCCTTGCACGAATGCAAAGATCCCCAGATCACAGGCTTTATAATGCTTAGGCACTTGCACATATGACCAATTTTTACTTACCACCCACACTCAAGGCAGGAGTTGCTGAAACATGGCCTTTTCTAGATTGAGGGCTTAATCAGCAACTCCATCTTGATGCAACACAGCATGGACTGAACTTCAATATAGAAATCTTTG